ATAACATAACAAAAATACGTAAAAAGCAGAAAAAAAAAAGTGCCAACAATATGGTTACCCTTTTAAGAAATAAAGTTGAAAGAAGTTCAACTTTTTTGCTTTCCATAAAATTCAATTTCATTGCTAATTTCTTGACAAAAAATTTTTTGTTCTATTGTTTTAAAAAGGATATGGCTAGATCTTTTCTTTTGCCCTTAGTTGTCGGTGCAAAAAAGTTAAAAATGTGGTGGATCAGCAAATAAGGACCAAATTGCTCATCTAAATATAGGCGAGAGACAATTTTAGTGTAAGTAAAATAGTTGAGGGAGTAAATTAGCTGATAATAAAGTTCAAGACTATTTTAGTTTTATAAAAATAGTTGAGGGACTAAATTGACACATAAAAAAGTTGAAGGACTATTTTATCTTTAGCAAAATAGTATATAGACTAAATTGATGTTTTGTTCATAGAGTAAAACACGAAAATACTTTGTCTAGGGGTAACATTTTTTGACATTTTTTTTTCAATTTGTATAGCACAAGAAATTCCCATGTAGGTACTAGAGATAAATATTGCATATAAGTGCATCTCATTCGATTTTTTTCACTTGTCTTTTATTTTCAGCATCAATTGAGATTCAACACAAGAAATTCACTGTTTTCCAAAACCAAAATACAAAATCCTCCGCATAATCAATGGACAACTTCTATTACAAGTTGCAATCTTATTCTATCAAACAGCAATCAACGTAATCGAAATCAGCTGCTTTATTTCACATCTGCATAACCAGCAATTCAATGTCATGACTGCAAAAGAACTATGGTCATCATGATCATGAGATCACATAACTGTAAGACCATTGATGACTTGGAGTTTATACCTTTACTTTCCTCACCTCCTCCTACGAAAGGACCTAGCGGACAGGGTTGGGATACTCTGCTCGTTCCTGAAGAAATTTTCAGGATCTACCAGAGTCTTCACTTTAACCAATCTATCAAAATTGTCTTTGAAATATTTGCGCCCATAAACTTCTCCTTCACTATAACTGTTCTTTCCATTGTCAGTTGTACCAATATCAAGATCCCTATAGTTGAGAAAAGCCTGCCTTGGATTACTTGATACATAAGGGGTCATGAAACTGTATAGTTCCCTTGCTTGGGCAATGTAGTGATTTGTTATGTTGGGGCTTCCATCTTCCCAATTCACTGAGTATTGAATCTTGTAAATGATCCCAGCCCTGTGTGGAAATGGTGTTTCATTTGCAGGCATTTCACTCATTCTTCCACCATATGGATTGAAAACAAATCCAGGTTTTCCAAGCTGAACCATTTTCTTGAAGATTGAAGTCAGTGCATCCTTAGGAATTGGGGTTTGGACATAATCTGATTTTCTCTTCAAGAAATTGACACCAGAAGTTCTGTTAAGAAGAAGTTCAGGATTTGCCCCAATGTCGAAATTGGACCAGAATAGCATTGACTGTATCCAGCTACCTTCTTTACAATCACTTTTCTTCAATCCCAGTTCAGGGAATCCAGCATTCATCACAGACATAAGACTCTTTGAATCTCCTAGATACAATGCAATGAATGTTAACCTGATGATCTTCTGACCCTTACTTTTGCCACTTTTTGAAGTAATTGGTTGGACAAGAACTCTTATGAAGAGACCATTGTCAATTTTGTCAGCAACATTCTGCCACTTGACAAGAATATCTGTTGCATTTTCTGCCTCAGTCCTCTGAACATTAAAGACAGTTACTATCTCAGGCACCTGGACTAACTTAAGTTTGTATGCCAAAACAACCCCAAAACTGGCACCACCACCACCCCTGATAGCCCAGAAAAGATCTTCCCCCATCGCCTTTCTATCCAAAACCTGGCCTTTAACATCAACAATCTGTGCATCAAGAACATTGTCTACCGAGAGACCAAATCTACGTAACATCGCACCATAACCACCCCCGCTGATGTGCCCACCAAGGCCTAAAGTTGGGCAAAGACCAGCAGGGAATCCATATGCATTGCTCTTTTCCCAAATTCTATAGTAAAGTTCCCCAACTGTCGCCCCAGCTTGTACCCAAGCAGTTTCACTTGGGATATCAACATGGATGGACCTCAGATTGAACATGTCAAGAATGATAAACGGGACATCAGAAACATACGAGATGCCTTCATAATCATGACCACCGCTACGGATTTTTAGCTCAAGCCCTGTACCTTTGGCGCATAAAACTGCTGCTTGAACATGTGGGATTTCCAAAGGTGTGACAATTATGGATGGTTTTTTTGTACTGGAAGTGTTGAACCTTAGGTTTCTAACATAGGCCTGTAATACAGAATTGAATGAAGTGTTTGTTGGACTATAAAGGATCTTCGAAATCTGGCCACTTGGGATTCCATTTTTTGTTAGACAAGCAGCAAAATTGTCATAGATTGAATGCGAAGCAGCAATACAAAAGGGTTGAGAATTGAAAGTGAAAATGGGAAGGAGGAGGAGGACGAGGAAGGGGAGCATGGTAGAGGGCGTGTAATTTGGTAACTGAAAGCTGTTTCTGATAGTAATGTATTTTGGATGTCAGCAAATGGGCAATAGGACAGAACACAAGGGTTCTGTACTATATACTTGTTATTAACAAGTTTAGTACGCGACTAGACTGGGTATTAGATCGTGGGCTGGTCGAAAGTTTGAAAAATTGATGGAAATGTAATGGGAACTGGAAATGATGCGGTGAAGATTCCCGTGTAAGGGCAAAACAAACTTTGGACCATGCAATTAATGAATAACGATTGACAAAAATTTAATTCCAGAGTAGGCAAAGACAAAGAAGGAACACAGATTGACAAAGCTACGACGAAGATTCCCGTGGAGGGATAAGCAAAATTTTGGCCATATGGTTAATGAATAGTGAATTAATGATGTTCCCTATTGGTTTTGGTAAATTACTGAGTTGGTTTATTTAACTTTCTACTAAGTGGACAATAATCTATCTTTTCGCCATATGAACGTATATAATGTTTGTTTATTTTTTGTGCTTTTTATTCTTTTTTTTTTTCGGTAATAATTAACTCACTTCCTTAGGAGGAGAGATGGGTTAGGTGGTCTGGAGAGAGAAAGTATAAGTGAGAGATTTCAGATTCAAACCCTCCCACTTATACTAAAAAATTTTAAAAAAAAACTCCCCTCGTCTTTCACTTATTTATAGCAACTCAATAAATTTGTTAGTTTCCGCTTTATATACATTTATATTGATTATACTTTACTAAATCCTTTGGTCAATCAACTCATAGTTTTTTCTTAATTTATTTCCAATCAAATTTTGCATTCTTATTTTTTGGCATATTAGAAGTTACTATCACTAAAATTTGGGAAAAATTTATTATTTTCTACAATTCATTAGTTCCTTATTTGTAACAAATTTAAATCAACATATTGATTATTTACTTTTTTTATTCTTTTTTGGTAACAATTAATGCGCTTCCTCATTTTTAACAACTCTTAACGAATTTATTAATTTCCACCTTATATACATTTTTATTAATTATGACTTGCTAAATCTTTTATCAATCTTTTATTAATTATGACTTGCTAAATCTTTTATCAATCTTTTATTAATTATGACTTGCTAAATCTTTTATCAATCATATATAAATAATAGTAGTTGCTGAATATTTTAATTTCCACCTTATCTGTGTGTGTGTGTGTGTGTATGTGTAGTGTGTGTGTAATCACTAGTCATGGGACCTAGTAGCGAGGGAGTTGATAATGCTGTTCGGTGCCAATTTTGATAAATTGTTAAGTTGGCTACTTTAACCTTTTACTAAGTGGATCTCTATTTTTTCGTCACGTGGCCGTATACAATGTTTGTGTGTTTTTTTTTTTTTTTAAAGTTTTTAATTCTTTTTCTTTGGTAAGAATTAACTCGGTTCCTTCTTTTACTTTCTTATTTATAGCAACTCTCAGTCAATTTATTAGTTTCCATCTTATATACATTTTCACTAATTATGCCTTACTAAATCTTTTTATTAATTAACTTATAGTTTTCTTTTTTGTTATTTATTCCAATCAAGCTTTCTATTCTTATTTTTTGGCATGATTATATATTAGAAGTTACCATTACTGAAACTTGGACAAGTTTTATTTTTTCTATAATTCATTATTTCCTTATTTGTAAAAAATTAAATCAACATATTGATTTCCTACTTTTTATTCTTTTTCTAACAATTAATTCCATTCCTTATGTATAGAAAACTTTTAATCAATTTATTAATTATTGCCCTATTTACTTTTTATTAACTATGCCTTACTAAATCTCTAACCATTCAACTTATGGTTTTCCTAGTTCTTAATTCTCTCTGACCACATTTTGTATTCTTATTCGTTGACTTGATTGTATATTAGAACATGCTATTACTAAAATTTAGACAATTTTTTATTGTTTCTATAATTCATTACTTCCTTATTTATAACAAATTTCAACCAACATATTGATTTCCTACTATATACACATTTTCATTGATTTTGTGTTTCTTTTTTCTTTTTATATTCATGAATCCAATACTATTCAATTTTTATTTTGCTAGATTGTTGATTTTGCCTTTCTTGATTTTTTTTATCAATCAACTCACAGTTTTCCTTTAAAAAAAAAAAAAATTCTCCCATCATGTTTTCTATTTCTATTATTTGGCTTGATTAGTTGTTACTACTTCGAAAATGTCGATAATTTTTAGTTTCTATCTTTTGGTATTCCATATTTTTAGCATAGGTCTCATCCATATCCATTTAAGTTGTATAATCAGTTATAAAATTTTTCTAAATTTTTTCTATTATTTATTATTTTTTCTCCTTTGAATACCAATTTCATAACAACTTATTACAGTCTAAAATTCATTTTGACGTAAGCATAGATTGGAAATGTTCTTAATTCTCTATTTATAGTTTTTTTCCAATCATGACCATATGCTATTTTTTTTTTAAACAAACGATACCAATTTTATAAATATTAACATTTGATAACACAAGAGTTAATTACAAAAAGGGGTAACTAACCCCATATCCTTTCTAGCTAGTTCTGATAACCAATATGGGATTGATCCTTCCCATTCAATTATCCTATCTGACTTAACTACAAATTGAGCCATAGCATGGCTACAACTATTAGCAGTTCTGGGAACAAACAAAAACAAACAGCATGTAAAGCTCTTCTTCAAGTCTTCAATGGCTTCCAGGATTGTTTGTATCATCTTACATTCCTGCACATTGCCTGAGTTGATTAGGCTCACCACATATTTGCAGTCGAATTGGACCTCTATTGTAGTCCACCTTGCAGATTTGGCCATTTCCAGTGCACATCTTATTGCCAATGCTTCCTCGGTTGTTGCTTCACCTCTCCTCCTCGCCGTGATGCCTTTTGCTTTTACTATCACTCCACGCCAATTCCTTGCAATTATCCCCAAGCCTGTCCGGACCATCTTAGCTGAGAGTGCCGCATCTGTGTTAATCCTTATGACTCCTTCTTTAGGTGGTTCCCATTTTTGTTGTGACTGACCATTCTCTCCTGAAGTTGTATCTGGCCGTCCAGTGGTTTCATTTTCAGCTTCATACTCGAGCCATTCTCTCTGTGCTTTATCAACAATCAGTTTTGCATCCACCCTCTCAGCTTGGAAGGTCATTTTGTTTCTCATGACCATATGCTATTTGTGTGAATATCTTTTATTTTTTTTTTTTCCTTTAAAGAATTTTTTCTCATTAATTTTTTTTTACATTTAAAAAAATCAAATATTAATATATTCCCTAATACATTTACTTTTCTCACATGATACTTTACCATCGTCACATTAAGGTCTGTTGGGAGCTAATGATCATTGTTTCGTGAAAAAAGAGTAACTACTTTTATTTCATTTAGTTCATTATTTGTCTTATATTTAATATCTTAAATTTTATTAAATTTATTATTTTAGTTCTTTTGTATCCATGTTAATTTAAAAACAAAAATTTCAAAAATAAAAATTGCCTATATAAATGCACTGGTTAATAACTAGTGGTATAATATTTCCACTGTATCTAGGTACTTATCCAACAAAAAATTTTGAATGAATGGACATTGTTTAATGTGCATATATTTTTGGAAAAATTTAAGATATGAAAATGAAAATTTTGAATATTCAAAAAAGGTTGTGACTTTGGTATAATACAAGAATGGGGAATTGTGGAGGAGGGAGGGTTAGGTTGGGTGGTTATGTGGGAAGGTAGAGCACTAATTACTTACAAAAAGAGAAAAAAAAAAAAGAATGGGGAATTGAGCAGTAATTACTTCAATTTCAAATATAATTTATTTTTTTCGAAACGATATTTGACTTGTATTGATAGCTTTACGCTTGTGAGCAAATGTCCATCAATTCTACACAAAAAGTGTACATGGCACTGAGGATTGATCCATTCCTTATCATCAATTATGCCCAATGCATAAGAACTAATTCTATAACTTACATGATTGTCATCCTTAATAACAAAACAAAAGAAACACATGTGAAAAGACAATTTTAAGTTGCTTATATCCTCCACCAGAGTAGACAGTTTGATATCTTGGCCCTTTGAGATGAGACTATACTGTTGTATTAGTTGCTTGTCATTGATTTGAATGACAATTATCCTTCATCTCCTCACAGCCATTTTTACTTATTGCAAGCTTGACTGCTTTGGCTTCATCCAGTTGTTCAGAGGTGTTGCATCTTTCATGCACGGCCCATGCTGCTACCACTGTGTCACTCTCATCCATAGCAGTCACCCCTATACCAATACTCACTCTGATTGTTCCTTCTGCTTCCTGTTTTGTCAGATGAAGAGCCTGGGTTATTATTGTTTCTGCTGTGCTCTGCCTTCCTTTTTCCTTCATTGCTTCGTTGTATTCTAGCTACTCCCCCTTTGCTTTCTGGATAACTTTCAAAGGATGCTTTTGCTATGTGCTCAATTCCCATTCACTCCTGTTTTTCCAAATCTGCCACAGTATATTGATAGTTCATGCTAGATGGTCAACTCTTGATTGTCTATTTCTAGTCCCTGTGATTGCAATCCACCATGCACTGAACCATCCTTGCTGTTCCTTGGCCCCATCCCACTGAATAGGTGCAATTTGCCAAACCTCTTTAGCCTTACAGCAATTTCAGTAGTGCATGCTCCACTGTCTCAATGCATTTCCCACACCCTTTGCGCATGCGGTCTCCCACTTTTGTTCTACTGAAGATCACTTCATTGACTGGGCAGTGCATTATTGATGCATTTCCGCATGAACATCTTCAATTTGTGCATTATATTTAATTTCCACAAGCTTGACCACAGCTGCTTAGAGGATTTATTAACACTTGTTCACAACCAAAACGAACACCTGCCAATGGTCCACGGCCCAAGTATCTTCTCTTCTTCACACTTTTCGTCCATAGGCCGCTCCTGACCAGGGCTGTCAATGGATTGGATTACCGCGAGCTTAGCACATTTGGCCCGAAAAAGGTTCAACAAGAGAAAAACTTTGGACCTAAAAATTAGGTCCAAACTAAATATGAAGTGAGGTCATGTCAAGTTTAGACCCGATTAAAATCCGATCATATATAAGTATAATTTGCTCCCATAGATCAATCTATCTACATTGTTGTTCTTAACAGGTTTTGCTTTGTTCTTAAGTAATTATTCATAAAACTTTTTTTTTAAAAAAAAAAGGAAAAAGAAATCGCATTCTTTTGTTAAACATTTTCAAACGCAAACAGTAGCTTCAAAAAGCAATTTAAGAGATCACTTTTAGGAGTTGTGTAGCATCCCACTTTGGACTTGGAAGAGGAAAGGAATGGGTTTAAATACTTGGGTGTTTGGGCTATTAAGTAATTTGGGTTAACCATTTTGGACTAATGGATTTCGGTCCAAAAATTATTTAAGCCAACTCTTGGATTCGGATCTTGGCAATTGATATTAGAGCGAGTCTCGTGTAATCTTTGCGCGGGATGACCCTAGGGTAGTAGGTTATGGTTTCGACTATGCGAACTAAGTGCTGTATGAGACTAAGTTTTATGTTCAACGGGGGCTACCTCTAGAACCTATGAGACTAAGTGCTACATTGGGCAAGGGCCATCTCTAAAGCCTGTATGAGCTACCTCTAGAATCCAAGCATGACCAATGCACAGTTTGGATTTTGACGAGCTTTGCGATGACTCAAAATCCTAAAGGTGAGGAGAATGTGTCATCCCACAGTGAAATTGGAAGAGAAAAGGAATGGGTTTAAGTACTTGGGTGCTTGGGCTATTAAGTAATTTGGGTTAACCATTTTGAGTTAGTAAATTTCGATCCAAAAATTACTTAGGTTAACCCTTGGACTCGGGTCTTGACAAGTTGTCTTGAACACTAATCACCTAATTATAAGTGATTGAGAATAGGTTTGCAAACGAATCGAACCACTTGTGAGTCGATTACGAGTGGCTCGAGTCAAATTTGATTTGGTCAAGACCCGAACAGACCAAGTCGAACTTGAACTCGAGTTTAAGTTCAAAAATACTAAACTCGTTAGCTCGCGAGCTGACTTGAGCTTGATTACATATATATTTTTTATTTTTTATATTTAATAGTAAAATTATATATATCCCTAATATTTTATTATTTATTCAGAAAAATTATTATTTTATTCATTTTTAAAATAAAATAAATATTTTTTAATATTTTTTTAAGCTAGAGCTCGACTCAAATTTGAGTCGAATTCAAGTTCGAGTTTTGTAAAATTATGTTGAGACTTGGATCAATTAGGTCGAAACTCGACTCGGCTCTCGTTTGCACCCGTAATTGAGAACATGCCCTTGCCAAGGAGACCTTAGTCCAATGACTAAAATTGAAACTTCAAAAATTAGAGGTTTTGAATTTAATTCTCCCTTCCTCCCCAGCTAATTGTTAATCCCACCCTTCCCTTGCTTAAAAAATTCCCTTTTAATTTGATGTAGAAGGCACATTCCATTGCCGCCCCTTATTGCTGAAATATTTTTAAAATAATGAAACAACTTTTATTAGAAATAACCCGGAATTGTTATTCAATTGTAGGTTTTTCCATTGGCTATCACTTCAATTTAATATGATTGGAGTATTTAATAATTAGTAAGACTTGTCCAAATTGAAAATCTTTCTCTGTCTAGCTTTTTTATATCATGCTAATTTTCTCTAAAAATTTTCTTAATGCTATAGAATTCTCCCCAAAACATGATGTTAAATATAATCTGTATATGACCTCAAAGAGAGGAGATCATCTTCATAAAAGTTTTAGGTTCATCTGGTTTGTAGTTTGGATAAGCATTCTAGGATTAATGAAATAAAATGAGTGGACTGAGTTTGTTAAAAGAAACGAGATGTACGTCCTTGATCTTGTTGACAATCAAACAAATCACATGCCCAACCCGGGTATTTCGAGTGGTTTCGTTACTCCTCTTTAGGATATGGCGATCACGGTTCGATTCCCAGGAATAATGTGTTCGAGGGAAATGGACCTTTCCTCTTGAGCTACAGGGAGAGTAATCAGGCCGAAGGCCTTGGATATCCCCTGTGTCAGAAAAAAAAAATCAAACAAAATCACATCGTTTCACGCAGTTGCATTTACAATTGCTTAGGACAGCCGAGTGGGTTTGACTCCAGTCATCACTGACAGTTTAAGACACATTCTAAGATAATAGGATGCAGGAGTTTTCACATTCTAACCTATGGCTATGGTGGGAGAAAGCTATGCAATCACTCTCGATGGAACAAGGTCAAGCTAGAGTTAATCTCACCATTAACATATTCTGGCACATCTGGAAAGCTAGAAACAAGAGAATTTTTGATAGTGCTCATTAGGAACCTCATAGAACTTCACAAAAAGCACAAGAGGAGTGGTTGGAATTTGAACAAGAAAGGGAATCTGAGCAGGAGAGCAGAGCAACCCAGAATAGGAGTGGACAACAAGCAAGAAATGAGCAATTAAGGGAAGATGTGGTATGTCTGTATACGGATGCAGCCATCTCTGCAAAAACGATCAGGACTGGACAAGGGATCATTGCAAGAAATTGGAAAGGAATCATAATGAGAGCTAAAGGAATTGTGCACCAGAGGAAAGGAACAGCGAGCATTGAAGAGGCACTCGCAGTACGAAATGCTCTACTGATGGCCAAGCAAGCTGGGTGGAAGAAAATTATTGTACATTCAGATTGCAAATCAGTGGTTGAGCAAATTAACAGATGCAGTGAATATGAGTACAGCATTGCAACTATTCTAGAGGATGTACAGGATCTTAGAAAAGGCTTTGACAGGTGCTCTTTTGTGTTTATTTCTAGAGCAGCAAATGAAATCAGTCATGCACTAGTTCATTTTGCAGTTAAACTAGTGCATAACATTGAATGGGAAAATGACTTCCCAATATGGCTGATTGAGTTAGGGATGAAAGAAATGAGGGTAGTATCCGCTTTTTGTAATTAATACTTGTATTATTAAGTGTTAATATTAATGAAATCTGTTATCGTTTGTTGGAAAAAAAAAAAGGATGCAGGAGTTTTCACACGCTCTTTTTGTGAGAGGAATTAATTTGTTCTTAGCAACTGAACCAACTTATATAAGCGATCCATGTTTGATTACCAATGCAAGTCTTTAAAAAATATTAAATGAGTAAGACATGAAA